GGTTTAGGGTTTAAGGTTTGGGGTTTAGGGTGTTTGGGTTTAGGGGTTTAAAATTTAGGGTTTGGGGATTGAGGGTTTAGGGTTTAGGGGTTTAGGGGTTTAGGGTTTAGGGTTGGGGTTTAGGGCTCTAGGGTTTTAGGGCCTTACGGTTTAGGGTTTAGGATTTTAGGGCTCTAGGGTTTTAGGGTTTAGGGTTGCGGTTTAGGATTTAGGGATTAAGGTTTAGGGTTCAGGGTTTAAGGGCTTTAGGGCTTTAGGGTTCTAGGGTTTTAGGGTTTAGGGTTGGGGTTTAGGATTTAGGGATTAAGTTTTAGGGTTTAGGGTTTTAGGTCTTCAGGGTTGGGGTTTAGGGTTAAGGCTTTAGGGTTCAGGGTTTTAGGGTTTCAGGGGTTAAGGTTTAGGGTTTGAAGTTTAGCAGTCGGGCGCGAAGCACACAGCCCAGAACAGGAAATGTGCACAGCTACAACATTACCGCGCCTGCATGCCTCCCTCTCTTCATGTAGCTGTCTATCAACGCATCTATACGTCTGTCCACCTATCCATCTATACACAGCTATCCACAATCCGGCCATCATCCGCTAGTATGTATCGCAGGGGACCGAAGACTACTAGCCCCCTAAACCCTAAACCCTAAACCCCTAAACCCTAAACCCTAAACCCCTAAACCCTAAACCCTAAACCCTTTTTGCGTCACTGCCAAGCTGGGAGGAAAATGACGTCCGAATCGCGGCAATCCCACAAGCTGCAAGGCAGCCTGCAATCCAAGCTCTGGTTGAAATCATGGAGTGGTTTGGGGTTTAGGGTTCAGGGTTTAGGGTTTAGAGTTTAACATTTAGGGTTTAGGGTTTAGGGTTTAGAGTTCAGGGTTTAGGGTCTACCTCCTTGAAAGACGCATGTTCTAAACTGATGCACTCTCGGGAGTCACTGCATTCTGCAGCCCTGCATCGGACAGCACCGGCTTTCCAGCCAGTGGAAAGTACCTGCACGGGAACATAGGGTTTAGGGTTTTAGGGCTTAGGGTTTAGGGTTTAGGGTTATACTAATCGTTATAAGTAGCCCTGCTGGGGTGACACGAATGCTTACTGTAGACGCCCAAATCCTTACCATTCCTTAGGGCTCCTGATTATAAGTATGCTACAAAATACACCGAAACCCTCAGGGTTCCCTATAAGTATACTATAACATACCCCCCCTAAACCCTAAACCCTAAACCCTAAACCCTAAACCCTAAACCCTAAACCCTAAACCGTAGTCTCTGATTATTAAGGGGCCTATGCTTACCGCACCCATCGCTCGGATGTCGAGGCACAGGCTTCCTGGACTGGACTGACCCACAGCTAGTCTAGGATAGGGTATACATATGCATATATGTATATATATATATATATGTGCATATATATATATATATACCAGATATATATGCATGTACAAAAACAGTATAATGCAATATAGTATAGTTAATTATCGATAGATAGATAGATGGATGGATAGATAGAAGGATAGATAGATAGGGCTCAGGAATTAGGGCTTGGGTTCAGGCTTTTGGGTCCACGGATTTGGGGGTTCAGGGTTCGTGAGGTTTTGCTTCCTGGTTCGCGCTCCGAACAATCGTGAGAAAACTAGCTTTACAGAAGAGGACTCGATTATGCGACACTAACCCTTAAACCCTAAACCCTAAACCCTACACCCTAAACCCTAAACCCTAAACCCTAAGCCTGCTCCGTGTGTGGCGGCAAAGATCAAAACCGACGACACTTCCATGGTCGAGACAAGGCCGCCATGCTACAGTTCCACTTTTAGACAATCTTGGTTGGTCCTTTAGGGTTTAGGGTTTAGGGTTTGGGGTTCAGGGTTTAGGGTCTAGGATCTTCCACTTTTAGACAATCTTGGTTGGCCGTTTAAAGCTTCTGAACAATATTCCTTAACAAAATCCTCTGAGGCCCAGTAAGGGAAAATATCAAGCATATCCCAAGAGCCTACCTGGGATACACATCACATGATGGCGTCCTGGCTATGTTGCCATGAGCAAAGTCAGCTGTCGCGTTGTCTTGTCGCTGCTAATGCTGCTGCTTTCCCGCTTCCCAGGATCGACACCCTGATGGTACTGTTAAAAGTGAGTGTCCTTAGTATGCCCTGCCAGCAGCACATAGTTTACTACAACTGCATGGACACTCTGCCATCGTGACTGGCATCACCTAACTCATCAGATAATAGTCAATAGTCCTGCGCTACCTAAACCCTATAAGCCCTAGGTCTTAAAAAATCCTAAACGAAATAGCCTAAACACTCAGCCCTTAAAGCCCAGCAGGGTCACCCCAAAGCCCTGAAACCCGAAAACCCTACATCCCTGAAGCCCTACATCCTACAGCCCTACTTAATAGGAGGAGCTTGCAAGACTTTGTCCCTGCCTGTGCTGCTCTCCGCTATCAAATTTGTAGGCGAACCCACCACCTTGGTCGGGAGATGCTCTGGGTTTGGGGCTTGGGCTTTATGACTTTATGGTTTGTGGTTAGCGGTCTTACAAGGGTTACTAATTGCAAGGGGTGGGGTCCCATCAGTGTTTCGGATGAAGGGTTCGCTGGGGCGTCTGCTTTCGGGGTCTAGGCTTAAGAAACACAGGCAGCCTTGCATGTGCAGATGGCACGCAAAAGACCCCATTGGTACATACATCCTGTCAACGTCCAAGCGGCTGGGACAATCTAAGCCATGGCTTGCAAACTCCTTTGGCCGCAGCCAGGCAAAATGGGTGGCACCTTTGCTTTTCCTCAGCCACGAGGAGCAGGGTGGCTTGGAAAAGCTGAAGCCCAGGGCCTACAGAAACCCACGAACTCAAACCCGGTTTAGGGTCGAGGATTTGAGGTTACTAAACCCTAAACCCTAAACCCCTAACCCTTGTGTAAACCCTAAACCCTAAACCCTAGACCCTAAACCCTAGACCCTAAACCGTAAACCCTACCTCAAACCCTAGACCCTAAACCGCAGAAGTCACGGGCTTGCGGCTTTGGGGAGCGGAGTCAGCAAGTCGGGGCTCTCGAGGGTTTAGGGTTTAGGGTCCTGAAATATTCGTAAGACTTCCCACCCCAAGCGGTAACCCGGAAATCCTGCTTGAAGGCTCTTTGATCTTGGCTGTTAGGGGTTATAGGGAAGTTTTAGGCCTTGGGATTTTTGCACGTGGGGGCAGTGTAAAGTCTAGGACCTGCCAGAATCACCTAAACCCTAAACCCTAAACCCTAAACCCTAAACCCTAAACCCTAAACCCATACTCAAAGGTGACACGCTTTGGGGCTTCGGGCTGGCGGTGTGATGGAGGGCACGATATCTACCCATAGGCCCCATCGTAGCTCCTTTTTGGGGGTTACCTTATAGGATTACGGTTTAGGGTTTAGGGTTTAGGGTTTAGGGTTTAGGGCTATATATGAACCCCCAAAAGGAACTACTTTAGGGCCTATGGATATCTAAGCTCACATCATCTCCCATCCCGCCGCAGGCACGTGGAATTGGCGCGAGTGGGAGGCCGGGGGGTTCATGTCCACTGCTACTTCTGCGCTGGTATGGGTTTAGGGTTTAGGGTTTAGGGTTTAGGGACTCCACCCGCCTCGACACCGAATCGGAATTTGTTTGACGCCCCTCCCGGAAAATTTTGCACTGCGAAAAATTCCCTCAGCCACACAGAACCATGTTCTGGATCAAGACTACTTATTCCTGAACCGTTGAATCCACAAAGGAACCTCCTGACCCTAACGACTTACCATACAACCTGAGCTCAAGACGACGCAGAACCTTTTGCGGGAGAGCCTTCACTTTTGGCCACCGGCAGCCATCGAATCCGTTACAGTAGACCCTAAACCCTAAACCCCTAAGGTGTTAGGGGTTTTAAGGTTCAAGGTTTAAGGCTCAAGGCAGAAGGCCTGTATAGCGCTTTTAGGAGTCGGGTGCTTCAGGAAACCTTGTAATGTAGGGGGGCGTAATAATTAGAATAGGGTTTTGGGGGGTTCCTTAACATCATTATAGTATAACCCCCAAAACCCTATTCTAACTATTAAGGCCCCTATAGTACGTCTGACCCTAAACCTAACTAAACCTGAAGCCCTAAGCCCAATATACACGCAAGACACATACATTATCCCCCAAGGACCTATTGAACCACATATTGAAACTAGTGAGCGCCCTGTACTACACTGTTTACCCAGACCTTCCAATGTACTTTAAATATGGAGTATACCCTATATTCCTAAATCACCTTCCGGATCCCAATAAAATTTAAGGTGCATCCATTAAGGTTAGTAACCATATTACACTTTCTCAAACAAGGAACCCTCACCATAGTATTGGTAATTATGTAAGCCTTATATTACACCGCTAACCCTCAGCCTTGCAACTAGGACCTACCCTAAACCGCAAACCCCTAACCCCTAAACCCTAAAAGTAGTTCTTTAAACTAAGGTCGCTGCTTAGGCCCGAGAGTAGTACGGCACCCTGACAAAAAGGACCCTAAAAGGAACCCCAGTTTAGAGAACTACCCATCTAAACCCTAAACCCTGAATCCCAAACTCGAAACCCTAAACCCCTAAGCCCATATACCCTAAACCGCTAAACCCTAAACCCCTAAACCCTAAACCCTAATACCCTAAACCCCTTAGCCCCTAAACCCTATAAACCCTCAAACCCTAAACCCCCAAACCCCTAAACCCTATTAGCCCTAAAACCCTCATACCCTAATACCCTCAACCCCCCCCCCCTAAACCCTAAACCCTAAACCCTAAACCCCTAACCCCCTAAAACCCTTAAGGAAGCCAGAGCTCAGAGCTTCCAAAGTCACCTCCTGGAAACGGCCTGGTCTTGGGTTTCACAGGTTTTTGCACGGGGCGGTTTAGGATTTAGCGGTTGAGGGGTTTAGGGTTGAGGTGTTTAGGGGGTTTAGGGGGATTAGGGGGTTTAGGGGCTTGGGGGTTTAGGGGGTTTAGGGGGTTTAGGGGTTTAGGGTTTGGGGCTTAGGGGTTTAAGGCTTCGGGTGTTGCGAGGGCTTCGTACAGGTTGTTTCCAGCAGGAGTGCGCAGGGGTGGCTGAATATATACCCTAAACCCTCAACCCACTTAATGGTTCGCCATCTGTGTTGGTAGTGTCATGGACGGCCCAGCCTTGTCGAAAAAGTGCTGCGGCCACACCTTCCGCCAAAGGCAATGGGCGCCCGAAGATCAAACCAGTGCCAGCTGATGTGGGGCCTTGGCAGCGGATCGGATTCGACTGAAGTGCCTTCTCTCGATGCCAACATGTGTGTAGTTCTCTGAATTGGGGTCCCTTTGGGGGGTCATTGTTACAAGGGTGCCGTACTACATCGGGGACCTACAAAAGGACCCTAAATCCTAAACTACCCATGTGAAGAGTGTCAATGTGGCCTCAGGTTTGACCTGCGACGTGAACGGCTGCCAGGCGACTGATGGAGGTTGTGCCGACGACATTTAGCTCGCTGTCGAAGTAGACATAGCCTCAACAAGACGGATACTGCATACTGATTCCAGTGATAATGTCCGCACGCTCTCATCGTGCCGCCGAGGCACCGCCATACTCCAAGAAAGCTCGCTCCGGACCGTTCAAAGCGGATATGATCCTAGGTTGGCCCTAAACCCTAAACCCAAACCCCCAAACCCAAAACCCCAAAATATGTTCGCGACGTCTTAAGCCCCATAAATACCCATAGGCCCCATAGTAGTTCCTTTTTGGGGTTACTTTATAGGATTCTATATATGAACCCCCCAAAAAAACTACTTTAGGGCCTATGGGTAGACACAAACTTCCCAAAGGCATACCGAGGATCCTTCCCCGCAGCTCGCCCGCCAGTTCGGCCTTGGCCGCTTTCAAAAAAGCCCAGACGCTTCGAGGAGTGGCTTTCTGCCGGCACAGGCTCTCTGTGTTGTTTGTTGCTTATTTAGGGTTTAGGGTGTAGGGTTTAGTTAGGTTCCATGACTAGAAATCTCGGGGCGGAGGCAGAGTTTTCTTGCTTGAGAATGTGTGGGGACTGTGCATTGAAGCCGTCGTTTGCTGTGCGACTGCTACCGCAATTTGCCGTGACATACGACATACGTTGCAAACGCCAGGATATAAGATAATGCTCTTGTACCTGCTGATGCATCACCCTGCGTAGCATGAAAGGCAAAACGACAAGCACTCCAATAAAACAAAGTAGCATAACAGTATTTCTAGTCGTTACACAGATCGATCTATCTCCATGTGTCTGTAAATGTCGCATGCTTCACGAAGACTGCGTGCGTTGCTTACACACACACACGTCATATGTGTAGGTATATTTTTACACACATACATGTGTATACTTATGTACACAAACCCACACATGTGTGTATATATATATATATATATATGTGTGTGTGTGTGTAAACATATGCATTTGCTGCATATGCTGGCATCTACAAATGTACATGCATGTACATACGCATACATGTCGCAGTGCGACATGACTATGCAAGCTTGTGTGCATACAATGTGTCACATGGCACCCTTTGAACTTACATGCTGACTTAACCCCACCAGCAGTCTATTGCCTGTTATGCGCATACAGGAAACTCTTAGTCGGTCGATCGTGCATTGCAACGTCTCCATCGTGTAACGCGATGATGTATGACACTGTATGGGTGATGTTATCATGTTCCTGCTCTGACTCTCTGCATTCTGTCTTTGAAACCCCAAGTATCCTAAAATACGAGGAACTACTATGAGTAATTATAATGACCCCTAGTTTTGTCCCCGAGCCCTACGAGGCTTTTTGGAGTATAGTTACATCAGAAACCTCATCGAATGATATAGGTAACTACTCAATCTCGTAAGGCAGCCCCTAAATCCTAAAACCCCTAAGCACCTGAACCCTAAACCCCGATACCCTGAAACCTAAGGCAAGCACTGAAACCTAAAGAATCAGAATAACAAGCCCTCTGGAATGATCTAGAAAATTATTCACTCTCCAATGTCAAACCTTGAACCCTAAACCCCAGAGCCGACACCCTAAACCCCTAAACGGTTCCGGGTTGAAGGGTCTAAGGTTTAGGGTTTAGGGTTTAGGGTTTTAGGGTCTAGGGTACCTAAATCCGAGGCACAGGGTAGGACCAAGCGAAGAACTTGGCCAGCTCGGGAATGCCAGCTGCCGCGCGCGTGGCGGGAGACAAAGTCGTGGGATGCAGTGGAGAGCAATGGCAGAACCTGCGGTGACTGTCGGGGAGTTTACTTTGGGGCTGAGTACCTCGCCCAAGAAAGCTTAACTTTTTCAATGATGGTAGGGTTATGTAAAGACCAGAAAGTTAAAGGTTACCTACTCAACCACTAAGTTTAAGGTATGGGGCTTAGGCTGTAGGTTTCGGGTTCTTTTCCGTTTAGAAGTACTCCGTTCTGCTGCTTCAACTGCTACGGCGAGAAGGGGTGGTGTCACCTCTCTCCTCTATGTCTGCTACTAAGGACGAACACATCCCTTCTCGGATGTGCTCCTTAGTCCCAAACCGGCTCCAATCTGAATTTCGGGTGCACAAGCACATGTTAGAATAAACGACCCTAATGAACAGTCAGTATCACTACTTATTCCGACCGGGTTAGACGGTAATTACCCTGAACCCGACAAGGTTTCTTTACAGTGTGTTTGTGTGAGTGTGGCGTGAGTTGCAATGAAAACTGCCCCCACACCCCCCAGACCCGCACTGCAGGCCTCCACACATAATTATATGACACTGAAAACATGCAAGGACCCACAGTGTGAAGCGCGCGTTTGACGCATGCTGTGTAAAAAGTTGGACGTGGGGAGCCGATTCTCAGCATTCGCTGCTAATAGCAGGACGCAATGAGCTAAAGTTGCGCGTGCGCCACGTTCAATCAGATCTCTTTGCACTGAATGCAGGAACCCACCCCATAGTGTTACCACACTGTTGGGAAAACAAAATGTACACGTTTAGATCCAAATTGTAATAGAAGCAGATACCTTCTGAAGCAAACGGGTCTGAACACGCAAATGGTATATACCTGTAGGGCCAAAATGCCCATGATATTGGCACTTATACTTTTTGGAATAAACAGAAATAGGGACAGAAGCAAGGAACGAATAGGAAGGACAAAGATCCCCTAACCCCCCCCCTAAACCCTAAACCCTAAACCCTAAACCCTAAACCCTAAACCCTAAACCCTAAACCCTAAACCCTAAACCCAAACCCGAAACCGAACCCGAAGCGCCAAACACTTCACCCTAACCCC